CCCACTTATAACTACCCGTGAACCCCAAACCGTAACCTGGAAAACCCAGGCGAGCTCTTGGCCATCCGCAAGTCGACTGCTCTTTTCGGTCTACGAGAGGCTGAGGAGCAGGGTGTAGGGTTGAAGGGTTCAGGGGTTTAGGGTTTATGGTTTAGGGGTTTTTTAGGGTTTAGGGTTTACGGTTTAGGGTTTAGGGTTGAACGGTTCAGGTTTTAGAGTTTAGAGCTTAGGGTTTAGTTTAGGGAGCTCCGAGTGACAGGTTTTTGGAGCGTTCGGAATTTCGGTTTTGGGATGCGGGGCTTCAGTGGCTTTAGGGCCTTTAGGGCTTCGGAGTTCAGTGCGTTGGGATTAGGAAAAGATTTCATGTTTGGCTATCGGGTTTTCGCAGCTTTTTGGGTGGCTTGGGCGGGTCTTCACAATTACCTTTACTATTTTGGGGATCCATATTATAACTATAGTATAATATACCCCATAGCCTTATTCTAATTAATAGGCCCCTGTATATTTGGACCACTACGCGAGGCGGGCATGACCTATTCTTAGTATGCAGCAACTAAGCCTCAGTTTCATAGTATATGTCACCGAATCATGAAACTGGGTTCATTAGAACTGCATGGAAATACAATCCCTCAGAATTCCTCATTCTCAGTATAGTACCCTAAACCCTAAACCCTAAACCCTAAACCCTAAACCCTAGTACAGTTTGCCCCAAACCTTGTTCTAAATGTTTGAGCTCCCGAAATGCCTAAGGAGCCAGGTCCCCCTGAGTCTGGTTCTGGCTCTTCTTATGATATAAAACTCAAAGGGTCTCGGGTTTAGGGTTTAGGGTTCAGGGTTTAGGGTTCAGGGTTTAGGGTTTAGGTCCCACCTACATAGTCGAAAGTAGGGTTTCTATCGTAGGGATTACGATTATGGCTTGGGTAAATATCCCTTCGTTCTGATTCTAGCTGTTCTTTTGGTTCTGAAGCATGCTAAACCCTCAGTCCCAAGCCATATCCTGAGCCCACGCACGAAGCTTTAAATTTGGGGTCATGGGTTTAATCTCCAGGCTGAGATGTAAGCCCTCAAAACTGTCCCCAGAACCTATATACTCCGTAATTCCAGGAATGATCCGAATAGTCTTTGAATCTATACACCGTAAGTTTAATCTCTGTTGCATGTATGGACTATTGCTCAAGCAAGTGGCAGTGTCTATCGAGCGCTGGGCATTTTCATCTCCAGCACAGGACATCCTCACCAAGGTGAAGTTCCCTGGATGTGGCCGTCATCAAGTCCCGGGCGTGGTGATGATGGAGGCCGGTTTGAGAAAGCGTAGCAGGCGAATCATGTTGATTGGAATTTTCAAATTGCTTTTGATCCTTTGTGGATGCTCAAACGAACGTACAACTAGAACTATTATACCTTCAAGCTCTCTTCGTACAGCCCTGCATCCAAAACTTGCGCCGGAGGTTTAGAACCCAACATGTGAGGGGTCTGAAGACCTGTTACGAATATCAGTCCCTCATATTTCCAAGTTTCGAATACAATTTCAGTGTCATGAAGACCAAAAAACCATTTCCACCTATCATGGCCGCTGTATCAAATCCTACAGCTTGAAAGTCCTAAGCCACAAACACCAAAGCGGAGCCCCTTAGAAGCATCCCAGGTGACCAACGGCAGGGCTGCTGCCGGTCCGAACGCAGGCCCCGGTTGTGCATTTGCACGTTTTGTGTCCATGAGCATTTCTCTTCCTACTCTTCCTACTCCTATTCCTACTCCTACTAGGCGTACGTACCTTATTTGACGCTGTGTTTCTTGTTGCGACTCACTACTTTTACACTGCCTTTTGCCACATTTGCACGACAGTTGGGGGAGCGTAATCACCGTTACTACGGCGACGACTACTTCTACTAGCTACTACTACTACTACTGTTGCTACTGCTTCTGCGACTGCTACTAGTACGTGTACTAGGGTTCAGTGGCTTGTTTTGGCGTTCTCCTGCTTTCGACCTGGCGGTTTAGGGGTTTGGGGGGGGGTGGAGGGGGAGGTAATTACGTACATTGGAAGCACATCCCGAAGCAATGCAGGCTCAACCCTTAAACTTAAGCCTTAAACGCCTCCTAACCCCAAGCCCTTAAAGGCCCCCGAACC